CTACTGGATGGTTAAGACCAAGGTAAAGCAGGACCTGTGCAACAAGAGTTGTAGCTTTTTGGTCTGAGAAGGTCAGTGAAATGCCCTCAGGATTTATTCTGAGATCCTGTAGACTTATGAGTTTTCAAAAATCATTTTCAATACACGAATTTTTGATTTTTTTTTTTAAAGTATTTGGTACAGGGACTCATTATGCAGCTCAGACTCATACTGATTTTCCTATTTTTAGTCTCCCCAGTGCTGGGATTACAGGCATGCAGCACCACACCCAGTCTTGGTGGCCAGCTCAATGTGCTGGGGGGCGGAGGCAGGGCCCAGAGCAGCATGCGGTACGAGGGATCAAACCCAGGTCCTTGAGCTTGCCAGACAGGCATTTAGACCACTGCTATGGTTTGTGCGTAGTTGTCCCCCCAAAGCCTCATGCAGTTATTGAGGCAAGGTTCTAGAGATTGTGATTAATTCAATCACAATCAAGGCTAGGATTGGGGCCGAGGAGATAGCTCAGTACAATAAGTGCTTGCCTGGCAAGCACAAGGTCCTGAGTTCAATCCCCAGTTCCGGAAAAAAAAAAAGGCTAAGATTATAGGTATGAGTGAGTATATAACCACCCTGGAGCAGACAGCCTGAATGCAATATAAGGAAAGGAGAGAGGCTTGCCTCTGCCACTGCTTCTACCTTTTTGTCCTTAGTCTTCGCTGTTTTCTGCCACCATAACTGCTGCCCTCTGCCATGTACCACTCTGCCTTGGAGCAAGCTGAGTATGGACTGAAACTTCCACAAACTAATAAACCTTTCCTTCTTTAATTTTGGGTGTCAGGTATTTTGTCCCAGTAATGAGAGAAAAGTAACCAAGACAAACGCCAAGTTGCCTCTCCAGCCCCCTACAAACATTTTTAAACAAAATAAAATCATGGGCCCATACTGATAGTCACACATCCAATTATAGCTTATTGGGCTTTTATCTTGATTTTATACTTACAATCTTTTTTTTTTACACTGAAAATCCTGATTCCTAAAGACTGCATTGTAATTTTATCTTTCAATGTAGTTAAAATAATTTTAAGATAATCCTAAACCTACTAGTAACAGTAAGACCAACCACCAAACACTATTTATGATGTCTTATTGGTTTTTTATGTCCTTAGGATGCATTCTACTAGGAATACAGTCAAAAGACATAATATGTAAATACTTTATAAAGTTCCTTGAAGTAATCAGTTTTATACAGTTATAACCACAAACATGTATGTTTATTTTCGTTTCCTTTAAAATTCTAAGGACTGCTTTTTGATTTATATTTGGTTTTTAAACTTTTATGTTTCATTCCTCCGTTCTACTATATTTGCTTTTTAATTATGTAAAACATTTACTGTTTCAAAATTAAAACTATGGGGCCAAGGATATAGCTCAATGGCACAAACACCTGCCTGGAAAGTGCAAGGTCTTCAGTTTAATTCCTGGTACCACAAAAACAAAACAAAACAAAAAAATTAAAAATTAAATTAAGGGCCAGGGAGATGACTCAGTAGAATAAGTGCTTGCCTGGCAAGCGCAAGGGGCTGAGTTCAATCCCCAGTTCCGCCAAAAAAAAAAAGAAAAGAAAAAAAAGAAAGAAAAGAAAAGAAAAGAACTAAATAAATAAATTAAAATTAATTGAAACAAAAAAATTAAACCCTTTCTTATGTTAACAGGGGCTGGGCATGGTGGCAAACACCTATAATCCCACCTGTAATCCCAGCACTCAGGATGTTGAGCCAGGAAGATTACTGAGTTCAAGACCAGCCTGGGCTACAAAGGGAGCTCAAGGCCAGCCTGAACTGCATAGTGAGACTGTCTCAAAGATTAAAAAAAAAAAAAAAAAAAAAAACCACAACCTATGTAGCAAAGTTAATTCACAGAAATCAGAAATACTTCTCTCCCTCATCCTACAGATAATTTTTTTCTAATATGTTTGTTTGTTTCCCCCATTACTTCTTGTTGGAAATATAAGAAAACACACACACATAAGTACCTGTGCACAAATCTCCTTCCCTTTCTCGTCCCAAAGGCAGCACATTCTGAGCCAGAAGGACCCTGCTGAGATGCAGGCACAATGATAGCACTTTTCAGCTCAGAGCCAGCAGCTCTCTACCTCTTCCGGCACAAACGCTGAAGCTTAATTTATGAGCTACAAGTCTGCAAGGTCCAGTGTTTTGGCTCCCTGTTACCTCATGACTTCATTCTTCCCACTGTCCTCTTGTGCTTGACAGTAATCACATTTTATCAGATTCACAGATGGTATGATGCCACACTGTCAACCTGGCAACTTTTCCAAGCTGATGTCAAAGGTCAGTGTATTATAATAAAAATTATAATAGGCTTTATTGTGGCACTTGATAAGACAACCCTAAAATTGATAAGAGTAAAGAATAATCATGACAATTTTTAAAGAACAAGAATACGGCCAGACATGGTAGCATGTACCCTTTTTTTCTCTCACTGTTTCATTTCCTATAACTCACATGGTGGCCTTAAAAGTACCCAAAAAACACACACAAAAAAATAACAAAATTTAGAAATATTAAAAGGCATAAGAAAGTTTTTATCACCCCATAGTTTTGTATAGGTTGTATAGGTCTTACGTCTTTATAACTGACCAAAGTCTAGTGACTTCCATAAAAGAAATCTCTAAGACAAAAATGTAAGGAAAAAGTAGCATGGTTCTAAACCTTAAATTTCTGTTCAGCCTGCATTATTTTCCTGGTGGGGAGAGCAGTACTAGGAATTGAACCCAGGAGCACTCTAGCACTAAGCTACATCCCCAGCCCTTTCTGTATTTTGAGACAGGGTTTTTTTTTTTTTTTTTT